GGCAAAGGGAGAAGTGAAACAGGCGCCTGGGAACCGGCAGCACCAGCAAAATCAGCAAGAGAAGGGAGGAGGGCGGCCAGGGAAGCCACGAGCGCAGGAGGAACGGGAACGGGAGCCGCACGGTTTCGAGTGCGAGGCGCTAGGGATGCGCCGGGCAGGGGAACCGAAATAAAACCCCTCCACGGGGCAAAAAAGGGGAAGCGAGAGCGTGATCAGATGGCGCCGGCGCCGCGGCATCGCCCTGTCCTCACGGCACGGTGCCGGCGCCTGTCGTTTGCTCGGGGACTCGTCCTTAAGTGCTTTTCCTAGAGGAGACGGGATGTTTTCAGTCTAATGGCTCGCACCATCTGTCCTCTGTCTGGGTGCATTAAGTCCCTGCCCCGGCGGTGGGTGGAAGCACCTACCTGCTGGCAGAGGGAGGAGGAGGAGGAGGAGGAGGAGGCCGTGGTTTTTGCACCAGCCCGCAACGCGCCCGGCTTAATGAAGCGAGGGGCCCGAGTCGCCGTGCGGAGGTAGCGCTGATGGAAGGTGCTCTGAATCAGATGGCAGATGCCACTTGCCATCAGGCCATGCCTCGTTACCTCTGCAAACGCAGCGGAGCAGGAGCGCACGGCAGCCAGAGGTGTGCGCGTCCCGCGCTCCCCGGGCGCCGCGGCCCTTCCCTCCCACCGGAGCCTCCGGAGCTCCGGTGGGGCTCGAGGATGCTGCAGGCTCCCAGCTCCGGCCCTTTCCCTCTCCTGTTCCCCTTGGCAGGCGCTGGAGCCGGGAATGTGCTGGTGCTGCTGGCTGAGCTTTGCCAGGATTGCAGTGCCCGTGGGGCAGCGCAGTCGTGGCCTGGCCGAGAGGTTGAACCTGCTGTTCCTTGGGCTTTCAACCCTCTTTCCTAAAGTTTTTATTGGGGAGGAAATAATGGATTCTCAGTAAGAGATGAAAGGCAGTCAGGAAAAGGAACTTTCCACCCCGGGTATTTCTTTCTCCTCCTTATTTCAGTGCATGGTGGGTCCCAGCTGCGCAGTGCCAGCCGCCCCCGGGCATCCCTGGCAGCAGCCTGTGCGCGATGCTGCTCTTCAGGATAACTGGGGGAGCGGTGGAGGCCCTTTTCCTGGGAGGCAGGAGAAGTGAAGCTGCCAGCGGGACACGTTGTGGTCCCCGGAGCAATGAACTGGAGAGAAGGAAGAGGAAGAGGAGGAGAGGAGCCGCGGTGGCGCCGGGGCTCTGCGAAAGCAGAAGCGCCGCCGGATCCCCCCGCGCCTGCCGGGCTCCCTGCTCGGCCACGGGAACCGCGGGGCGCACGTGGCGCCTCTGCGGGGGCTCAGCCCGGCATGGGAAGCGGAACGGCGGCGTCCAGCCCGCGGCACGGACTGACTCAGCGCCGCGCGGCGCGTCCCGTGGATGCGCAGGGTGTCCCGTGGGTGCACGGGGCGTCCCAGCGATGCGCGGGGTGTCCCATGGATGCATGGGGTGTCCCGTGGATGTGCAGGGTGTCCTGTGGATGCATGGGGTGTCCCAACGATGCACGGGGCATCCCAGCGATGCACGGGGTGTCCCAGCAATGCACGGGGCATCCCATGGATGCACAGGGTGTTCCATGGATGCACAGGGTGTCCCAATGATGCACGGGGCGTCTCATGAATCGACAGGGTGTCCCATGGATGCACGGGGCATCCCAACGATGCACGGGGTGTCCCGTGGATGCGCAGGGTGTCCCATGGATGTGCAGGGTGTTTCGTGGATGCACGTGGCGTCCCAACAATGCACAGAGTGTCCCAACGATGCACGGAGCATCCCATGGATGCACAGGGTGTTCGGTGGGTGCACGGGGCGTCCCAATGATGCATGGAGCGTCCCATGGATGCTCAGGGTGTCCCGTGGATGCACGGGGTGTCCTGTGGATGCACGGGGTGTCCCAGCGATGCATGGGGCATCCCATGGATGCACAGGGTGTCCTGTGGATGCACGGGGTGTCCCAACGATGCACAGGTTGTTCCATGGATGCGCAGGGTGTCCTGATGAAGCACAGGGGGCTGCTAGTGCTGGGGAAGCAGCACCCCAAGGCCTCGTGTCCTCTGCCCTGCGCTGCGGACACGGCAGGTGCCACCACATTGAGTGTCCACCACGCGCGGACACCGGCCCTGCCTGCTGCTCCCAGGCTTGCACGGGGCCAAGGTGCCACGTGGGGCTCGTCCTGGTGCCACCAGCCCAGGGGAGCTGGGGGCTTTCCCTCCAACGTGGTGACACGTCCCGAAGGGAGAGGCTCGGCCGCGCTCTGGCCGGGCCCCAGCAGCGATGCCCTGGGGGCTGCAGGTCCTTTTGGCTCCCCGTAGGAGCGTCGCTCCGTCGCGGATTCACCTTGGG